CGATTGTGGTAGTTAACGATAGGGGAAATTTTGCAATTTGGCGCCAAATGGAACGGCATTCAAATTTTAAATAAAAAATAACAACAAATGTGTGTTTTTTGCTCAGTTACAATTTTTAATAATAAAATAAAAGCATATTTAATGAGCTTTTTGAAATTTAATGAAAAATAATTTTTTGACGGCAATTTTAGTGATTTTAAAAGCTGCCAAGGGCTAAAGTGGCAGAAAAATTTTGTGATTTTAAAAGCTGACAAGGCTAAAGTAGCAGAACATTTTACTCTGACGTGGCAGAAAAATATCGTGATTTTAAAGGCTGCCAAGGCTAAAGTGGCAGAAAAATTTCGTGATTTTCAAGGCTACCAAGGCTAAGGTGGCAAAAAAAATTTACTTTGACCAATTATCATGGAAATGTGCATTACTTCGATTTAATTCGTGCTTAATTTAATATAAATCTAAAAAAAGACACTTTTGAACAAAAAAAACTACTTCTCCTAAAAGTATGCTTCCAAATATTTGTCTAAAAAAATGTGACAGATGCTGGAAAATGAAAAAAAACTTATTTTTTATGAATATTACTAGTCGAACTTTAAATATGCCTCATCAGTCAACATGACTTTTCGTTGGATGAAGCAACGGACCATTCAGCTTTGATCTTAAAAACTTGAAAAATAAAACTGGGCAATTTAAAATACAACCTCGTTATTTAAAAATCGTTCTTTTTTTCCTCAATTGACATTGACATATTTCCCCAGCTCTGACTTGAACAAATCGATGGTCAATGTCAGCAATCGATTATTCACAACACAAACAGCTGATCATTGGTTCAATAAGAAAACCATTCTTTTGGAAAAGAGAGTTGGCTTTTAACTTAATTTGTATTTGTATTTGTAATTTCAGAGTACTTAAATGAGCTATTTCGTTACCTTCTTACATTAATTTATCTATTAATTCATAGTTTTATAACATAACAAATAGAAAATAAATAACGACATTGTTGCACCTAGTTCCATAATTCATTGCGTGTATCAATTTGCTAATCGCCTGTGAACTACACATTAAATCGATTGTAAATGACAGCAATCGATTACTCACAAAACACAAACAGCTGATCATTGGCGCAATTGGAAAAAAACATTCTTTTGGAAACTAGACTTGGTTTTTAATTTAATTATTAATGGAAGGTGATAGCTACATCTATTTCTGGACTCTTTAATAAGTTAATTCTTTTTTTTAAGTACAATGGTTTATCTATTAATTCATTGTTTTATAACATAACAAACAAGAAAAATCACAACTTTGCTGTGCCTAGTTCCTTGGTTCATTCCGTGAATTCGTTTGCAATTGAACCAATCGCCTGTGAACTACACAACACGGTAGTTAAGTAATTTTTTGAACAAAATTTAATTAAAAAATTATTTAAAATAATGTCTAATCCTGGTGAAAAGGCTCCAAATATCAAATACGCTGAAGGAAAAATCGATAAAGCCCAGCTGGAGTTTATGAAATTGATTGAACAACAGAATTTGGAACGGGTACAGAAACTAAAACGTGTTAGACGTAATAATTTGTTAACAGCCGGCTCCCTGATATTCTCTGTTGTGGGCATATATGCCTATTCCATTTATTCGGTGAAACAAGAGAAATTTTTGGACGACTTTGAAGAGCCGAAAAAAGTCAACACCAATTAAGAGTGGTATAAAGCATAAAGATTATTTAGTTTTATAAGAAAATTTATATATAGTTTACACGCTCGTCGTTATCCTTGTTTTGCAATTGGAAGTTTTTGTTGTATAACCAATATCTTTGCGCATATATTAATTGATAAAAAAGGACCTGATTTGTGGCTGATTTTTGAACAAAGAAAAAGTGAGGTTAGTTGGAATTTTGTTATTGTTGTAAAAAGTCCCATGATTAATATGTATTGCTTTATATATTCTAGCTCTCAAAATGTCTGAGGCAGCTGTTAGAGTACTAAAATCCGGCATGCGTTTACCACCCTTGCCTACCGTACGCGACCTGGTGAAATTGTACCAACTGCAGGCTTTAAAACAATTATCCCAAAACTTTTTGATGGATGAACGTATCACTGATAAAATTGTAAAATCCGCCGGTCGCATTGATAGCCGTGATGTGGTTTTAGAAGTTGGCCCTGGCCCAGGAGCCATCACACGCTCCATTTTGAGACGTTCCCCACAACGTTTAATTTTGGTGGAGAAAGATCAACGCTTCCTACCCTCCCTGGAATTGTTAAAAGAATGTGCCAAACCCTTAGATCTGCAAGTCGACATCCATATCGATGATATTTTGCGTTTCAATATGGAACATCATATACCCGACACCGCGCAACGTTTACATTTAATTGGCAATTTACCATTTGCCATATCGACAAGATTAATTATAAATTGGTTTGAGGATTTGTCGCTGCGTCGTGGTGCATTCCGCCGCAATGACACCTGCATGACATTGACGTTCCAAAAAGAGGTGGCCGAACGCATCTGTGCCAATTTGGGTGATAAACAAAGATGCCGTTTATCGGTGATGTCCCAGATATGGACCCAGCCTGTTATGAAATTTATAATACCCGGCAAGGCGTTTGTACCCAAGCCAGAAGTTGATGTGGGAGTGGTGAAATTGATACCCCTAAAGCAGCCTAAAACTGATTTACCATTTGGTTTGGTTGAAAAAGTGGTGCGGCACATATTCAATATGCGTCAGAAATATTGTCGTCGGGGTTATGGTACACTGTTCCCACCACAAGATCGGGATGATATTTGTTATGAACTTTTCCAGCGGGCCGATGTGGAAGATACTTTGAGACCTTTCCAATTGTCTGTGGATGAGTGTTTGCGTTTGGCCACGGTGTATAAAGAGTTTGTAGATGCCAATCCCGATATAGCCCAATATGATTTTAGAGCTCAGAAAAATCCTCCAATGGAAATGTTAAACGCCACCACTACTTATGATGATTATGTGTAAAAAATTGAACAACAAATTTTCAATTATTTTTTTTTGTCATGTAAAAAAAATATTGTTTATTTTTTTCTTTTTAATAAAAATCTACTATATATGTAAAAATATAAATTTATTATTATTTTTTTTTTGTAAAGTATGGAATGTTAATACATAGAGATTCTAAAACAAATTGTAAAATTTGATTATAATTTGTTGCTCATGGACGGAATAATGTTTCACTAAAGCTAACAGGTGGATGTACATATTTGAATATAATCAATTTTTTATAAAATTTATTTTCACAATTTTAAAAAAATTTTAAAAATTTGAAAATGTGAATTTTCTCAATAATTGTTTGAAAATTTATATTCATTCCTTTGAAAAAGGCAATTCAAATTTCCAAATTCCCAAAATTTTTATGAAATTGTGATTTTTTCTATAATTTAAAAATGTATCTCCATTAAATACTCATCCACTTCGAGAAAAAAATACATTTTTACTAATATGTACTTTTTTTCAAAAAATTTGATATTCGAGTTGAACTAAAGGCACATTTTGGTCTTAATTACTTTGAAGAAAATATTGAAAATCTAAATCTCAATATCTTTAATACCAAAACATTCGAATTGCCATAGCTATCACTGCACTAACTAAACCAAAACCAATTGCTGCACGATTCTGCTCAGCACTATTGCAACGATGATCCAAGAAACAAAAACAATACTTAACATCAGTGAAATAATCACGTTTCACATCATGTTCCTTAATTGTGTGATTGACATAATGGGCCAGACGTACATCCTTGGCAGCCGGGTAGCAGCCTTCATATTTATCCGCGGGGATATCGGTACGGAAACTCAAAGCACTCAAACAATCACGTATTATTGTTTCTTGGGCTAAAAACAAACACATTTTAATTAGTTAATTAAAATGATTTACAAGAATTCCCTTACCTCCCCTCCTTTCCGTCACCTTTACACAAATATCATTGCTTTCCGGGCACTGTTCCCCCAAAAAACCAATGCCACGCCAATTAAATGTCTCACCACATCCCGGGGTGGCTGAGGTACAGCGATAACACCAAATAGCCAGGCCTATAAGAAAAGCCACAAACAACAACAAACATCTCAAAGATTCCATTCATTCATTGATGACATCGTTCGTCGTCTTACCTTCTTTCATGAATAGACTTAGTATAACAAAAACAATGCTTAATTCTCGCTTCATTGTGTGACAATTCTTTTAAATAATATTTTTAGTTAAATATTTAATAAATTATAAATTAAAATAAAGCACAAAATTATATTAAAAACACAATGAAAACAAATGACAAAATTACAATGCTAATAAAAACACTACGCCCTTGATTAGGGTTAACTAGATCGATTATGGAGTAATCGATTAATCGTTGATGGGATAGTCTGAAGGCGCCATGCTACAACGCCGTTATGCTATGTGTGCTGCTACCTTATTAAAAAGCGTGCTTTCACGGTTTGTTATGGGAATAGCGGTAAAATACGAACAAAACAAGTAATTTAAAAGAAATTTAACAAGATTAGAAAAGAAATTATGGAAATATAAAGTAAATATTATATAATTATAAATAAAACATCAGTATTAATACACTTAAATAAATAAATGACAAAAATAAGCGAATGTAAATTTAGATGTCAAGAAACTGTGGTTCTATTACAAAAAACGTGTAAATATGGCCTCAGGCTACGTTTAGATTTATGAAATACACTCGATTTCAAATGTCAATTCCATTATACGTCAAATATAATCCATTGGATTTGTGAACAGGATTAACGTGACGTATACGCAATGGAATTGACGTTTGAGATCGAGTGGATTTAGTAGTCTAAACGTAGTCTGAGGCCATATTTACACCGAATGCGTTTTATTATAACGGCGCATTTAGACTATGCCTTCTAAATCAACTCGATTTGTTAATCGATGTATAAAATTCTACGTGTTTAGACTAGTATCAATGTGTTATAAAGTAGATTTGTCAGCTGCTATTTGTGGTTCGGTGGTTTAATAATTTCTGTGGGAATTTTTCAAACAACATTTTCTTATTTCTAATAGGAACTGCTGCTCTACATTAGGTTTAAAATTTATAGAAATATTTTCAATTCATAAACGAGAACTTAGCTCAAAGGGCCACTAGCGACTCCAAAAACTTCTTTACATGGACTACTCTAAAAATATTTGTTGCTTTAAATTAGAGTAATTTTCATTATAAAATTAGACAAATTTTCAGCAGCTGCCCAATTTTTGTCAGGTAATTATTTTAATTATTTTGAATTTGAATGTATTTTGAATAATATAGGATTGACATTTTGACAATTTTAGGAGAAGTGACGCTTTTTGTGGTGCAAAATCAGGGTTGTATTTGATATAATTTCGATTTAGCATAGAATTTAGAACAAATTGAGTGATTCAATAATTTGGTCTTTTCCACAACTTACAAGAATATACAATTCTTTACTATTGGTCTGTTCCCGTAGTGCAAGAATCTATCTATCAATAAAAAGGTCTCCCAGCAGCTGCTTTTTCCCATCTTTAATGTCAAAAGTTTAGAAGTAACCGATCATCCGGGATCGCCCAACAAACGAAAAAACAGCCGATTTTTCTCATCTTAAATGTCAACAATTTAGAAGCAGCTGATATTCCTGGATTACCCTTTGTTAATAGGACTTGAATGGCCTACGTTTGACGTCGGACGAATAGGTCATATAAGGTCGTCCTATAGGGCAAGATGATTTCACCCGAGCTGTCAAAATGCTTACAATTTTGATTTAATCGTATAAAAACGTAAACAACAAATTTGACACTATGAGGAATTTTCAATAAATTAAATTGAAAATAATGTTGACAGCAAACATGAGGAACTTTAGAACCAAGGCCTATTGATTGGGTCATCCAGGGAGACCAGCTGGATATCAGTTGATTCTTAAGTTTGCTGTAAAAATTCATTATTGTGAATTGACTTCCATTATCAAAACGTAAACATTGTCAACATTTTTGACATAAACCTTGAAAATAAACCGCTGATTTTCGCTTGCTGCTTGACAATTATAATAGATCTTGAATAAAATAGCTGATTTTCTCAAGTAATTTATGTTTTAATAATGTGAAGTCAATTTACAATAATGAAATTTGACAGCAAGATTGAAAAGCTACTGAAATGCAGCTCATCTTTCTGAATGACCTTATTAATAGGGCTTGCCTTGGTGTTTTGTTTTCGTTACTGGCAAGGCCCTAGATCTATTAATAAGTTCACCTAGCAATCGAAAGTCAGATGTTTTTTCTCAAGTCTAATGCCAACAATTTGAAGTTTGTTTACGTTTTCATAATGGAAGTAAATTCACAATAATGGATTTTGAGAGTAACCTTTAGAAGCAGCTGGTGTCACTGGAAGCTGGTGTCCAGGAAGACCAGCTGCATATCAGCTGCTTCTCAAATTTGCTGTCAAAATCCATTATTGAAAAATTGACTTCCATTATGAAAACGTAAACAAAGTCCAAAATTTTGACATTAGACTTGAGAAATAACAGCTGAATTTCGCTAGTCGGATAGCCTTATTAATAGATTTTGGGTTACCTAGTATAATCAGCTGTTTCCAAAGGATGCTGTTCGTCAAACATCTGGGTTAAGTAATTACTAACTTCGACTGTTTTCCTTCAAAGTAATTGATCTGTTTCATAACTGCAAGAAGTTACTAATTTTTACTATTTATTTCGATATGATACAGGAAAAAATTTTATTGTAGAAATCGGATAATGTCTAATATAACATTTTAATTTTAAAATCATTATTTCTTATAGTTAAAAAAGTCAAAGATCTTTTACAAGACTAAAGTTTTGGGTATTTGCCAATTGTAACACGACAAAAAAATAAATTGTAAATTTTATTGAACTCAAAGTCAAAGTTATAAAAAATAAATCAAACATAAATCTTATACAGAACGATCAAGAAAGAAGAAAAAACAAACAAAAACAAAAAATAACGCTAACTTGAGGCTACGTGCAAATCTGACAGAACAATACTTCAAAAACTTCGACTGACTCATCAGCAAGAAAAGTAAGAATATTAAACAGGCAAACAACAAAACAATTGGCCATAAAAAAATGTTACTTACGTATATGTATATTTATAGCATGCTACGTACGTACCTATATGTAGATCACAAATTTATGTATATTTATTTGAGAGAATGACTTCGTTTTTTTTATTTTCTATATGGCATTTGATTGAACCATGTATGGAATTAAAATAGCAAAAATTACTTTATGCCAAACATAGTCAAATTCCATCAATGACGTCTTGTGGTTTTGTTTGGATTTCTTTTCGACTCTACTGCAAATGGAACAAATGGGATTTTTTTTTTATAAATTTAAGAAAAAAACCGCAATACCAAATTAGGTAATTACTATTCACCATGATATGATTTTTAAGATTTCTATTGCTTGGGAATACTTGTGGCCATTTGATTGAAACATCAAATGATTTGAAGATTTTTTTATTGCTGATTCATTGCGGTTTGTTTTATAAGTTTGTGAAATCTTTTTTTGGTTTTAAAAATTTGGAAATTATTTCATCTTGTGGTTAATACATTGGATCAAAGTGGTATTGTAATAAAAAATGCCAAATAAATACGTAGAAATAATAAAATTTGCAAAAGATAGCTCTTGACAACAAAATGTCATTTATTTGTCATCAATTGACAATTTAAATGACTAGTTTTAGAAATCACTTTGTATGTGGATTTTGGGAATGTGAATGAAAATATGGAATATATAATTGTTATATTATAAAAGGCAAGAATCTACTATTTTCTTCGATAACGTAAAGAAAAAATTCCTTATCGTTGTAAAAAATAGTAGATTCTTGCAATACGGGAACAGACCGAATGTGTATTCTAAAATATGTATTTTAGAAAATTGTTAAAAATTCCGAAATGTCTTCGAAATATTAACGTGCGTTTAGACTATAGTTTTTATCGTGGTGTGCATAATTTC